AGTCATTTATTCAGTCATTTATTCATTCAACCAGCATTTGCTGAGTGTCCACTATGTCAGCATTTGCTGGGCACATACATCTCTGCCAGGATTTTCCTTACATTTTTAGAACTAAGTGGTTATATTACTGTTAATTCACTGCAAAAACCTATCAAGATTATATAGTGCTCTGCAAGCTAAGTAGAAACGGAGCCACAAGTGACGAGGGAACACATGTGCTGCATGGGCCCTGCACTGACATGATATCCTAAAGTCCCTGAGGAAAATATTGAAAAGTAGAGGATGACACTTTGTCCTATGTGAAATCAGCTATAGAAAGTGTGACACCTAAATTTTTGGTTCCTTCTATAATGCTGCAAACATTGCTAATCTTTCATTTAAAACATGAAGGTTTTTAGGAGCAGACCCCCTTCCCCAGCCACACTTTGGCTATTTTCTGCCTAAGTGCAGTGGTGATCTGCAAAAGATGGGAGCGGTTAGGAATTCTTTGGGGAGGGTTATATTCTTGTATAATTTGGCTTCAATTTACCACACTGACTGGATTCAAATCCCCAAGGCAGTTAAAATGATGTAAAAGAAGTATAAATAATGTATAGCCTTGGGGGGCTGCTTTGAATCTTGGTGTCTGAGTCTTTTATGTAACCAAGTGTTAAAATCTTCTGTTAGCTGGGCAGATTTCTTCACACAACTTCTTGCGGGAGGAGGAACAGCTGCATCTTAATAGGAAATGTCTCATTAACCACGACAAAGCCGGGGTTTAAAAGTTTCAAAGCCCTGAAAACATTTTTATTAAAATCACTATAAATCTGCCATGAAAACAAGAGATCAAAAGGTTCTCCTTGTGCAGTTTCAGATATAAACTAACTCACCAACTACAAAGTTCGCAACACTGATGTGGTCACATCTGGATCAGGGGCCTTCAGAAAACATCTCCAAAGAGTAAATGTATTTTTTATATGGATCAAAACCCTGGAATCTAAGGGATTTATGAGACATTGAGTGGAGCACTTAGTGGAACTCTCCTTTTGGCAGTGGAGGGAGACATACCCAACAGCGAGTGGAAACCTTACAACCACCATTTGCGATTCTTTTTGTTTTTGTGTTTGTAAATAATGCTCAATGTCACTTTATAACATTTGTTGCAGACTAACATTCTTTTCTGGGTCCCTTTACTTAACAGCAAGATGTTGATAGGCTGTTGAGCTTTATTATGTTTTTCCAATGGGACAACTGAACTCACCTTCAATGAATACAGTTCCTAACTTCTACAGGAAGCAGAAAAATACCTAAAAGGGCCTGAGAGTTCATATTCACTGACCCAGTAATTCCATTTCTAGGACTCTGATTCTGGAAAATACCTAGAGAAGTGTACAAAAACTACACAGAGATGTTCATCACAGTTACGTCTCTGACAGCCAAAATACTTCAGACAACCTACATGTCTGTCAACCAGTGAATGGTTCGATTAGTACATAGCCTTTAAAAAGCATGTTGCCTACACCACACTAAAATGCTTCTGTGCAGCAAAAGAAAATCAACAAAATGAAAAGGCAATCTATGAAATAGGAGAAAATATTTGCAAACCACATAAGGGGTTAATATCCAAAATACACGAAGAACTCATATAATTCAGTAGCAAAAAAACAAAGCCTGATTTAGAAATGGGCAAAAGACTTGAACAGACATTTATTCTGAAGAGAATGATATTCAAATGGCCAACAGGTGCAAGAAAAGGTGCTCAACATCACTAATCATCAGGGAAATGCAAATCAAAACCACAGTGAGATACCACCTCACACCAGTTAGAATGGCTATTATCAAAAACACAGAAGTGCTGGTGAGGATGTGGAAATAAGGAAACCCTGTGCACTGTTGGTGGGGATGGATATAGAAGCTGTGATATATATGTGATACACACACAGACACACACACATATACAGTGGAATATTATTCAGACATTAAAAAAAAAGGACATTCTGACATTTACAACAGCCTGGATAGACCTTAAGGGCATTATGCTAAGTGAAATAGGTCAGAAAGAGAAAGACAAAGACTATATGATTTCATTTATATGTGGAATCCAGAAAAAACCCAAACTCATAGAAATAGAAAACAAACTGGTAGTGGCCAAGAGTGGGAAAAATGGGTAAAGGTGGTCAGAGGGTACAAACTCCCAGCTGGGGATATAATGTACCCCATGGTGACTATGGTTAATAATAATGTATTGTATATTTGAAAGTTGCTAAGAGAGTAGATTTTAAAGGTTCTCAGCACACAAAGAAGTTTTAACTATGTGAGGTGATGGATATGTGCTAAGTAACCTTATTGTGGCAATTATTTTGAAATATATTCAGATACAAAATCACTACACTGTACACTTACACTTATATACTGTTATATATTAATTATATCTCAATAAAACTGGGGAAAAAGGCATATTGTCTTGGATTCTTACCACCATGCTCACAAAACAACAGTCACTGAGAATGTTGCTATACATACAGATATATACATATACATATACATATACAAACATATGTCATATATACATATGTAAATCTATACATATATGTATGTATATGACCATATACCCTGTAAAATGTTGACATATATATATATGTATATATACACACACATATACTATATAATGCCAGTTCTTTGTTTAAGAAACATATATATCTCTAGATATAAACCCAAGCATATATGGCCAATTAATATATGATAAAGGAGCCATGGATATATAATGGGAAAATGACAGCTCTTCAACAGCTGGTGTTGGCAAAACTGAACAGCTACATGTAAGAGAACAAAACTGGATTATTGTCCAACCCCATACACAAAAGTAAACTCAAAATGGATCAGACCTGAATGTAAGTCATGAAACCATAAAACTCTTAGAAGAAAACATAGGCAAAAATCTCTTGAATATAAACATGAGCAACTTTTTCCTGAACACATCTCCTTGGGCAAGGGAAACATAAGCAAAAATGAACAAATGGGACTACATCAAGCTAAAAAGCTTCTGTACAGCAAAGGACACCATCAGTAGAACAAAAAGGCATCCTACAGTATGGAGAATATATTTGTAAATGACATATCTGACAAAGGGTTAACATTCAAAATATATAAAGAACTCACATGCCTCAACACCCAAAAAGCAAATAACCTGATTTAAAAAATTAAAAAATGGGCAGAGGATATGAACAGACAGCTCTCCAAAGAAGAAATTCAGATGGCTAACAGGCACATGAAAAGATGCTCCACATTGCCAATTATCAGGGAAATTAAAACCACAATGAGATATCACCTCACATTACTTAGGATGGCCAACATCAAAAAGACTAGGAACAACAAATGCTGGTGAGGATGTGGAGAAAGGGAAACCCTCCTACACTGCTGGTGGAAATGTAAGCTAGTTCACCCATTGTGGAAAGCAATATGGAGGGTCCTCAAAAAACTAAAAATAGAAATACAATTTGACCCAGGAATTCCATTCCTAGGAATTTACCCGAAGAAAACAACTTTTCAGATTCAAAATAGTTACAATAGTCAAGAAATGGAAGCAACCTAAGTGTCCATCAGTAGATGAATAGATAAAGAAGATGTGGTACATATACACAATGGAATATTATTCAGCCATGAGAAGAAAACAAATCACACCATTTGCAACAACATGGATGGAGCTGGAGGGTATTATGCTCAGTGAAACAAGCCAGGCAGAGAAAGACAAGTACCAAATGATTTCACCCATTTGTGGAGTATAACAACAAAGCAAAACTGAAGGAACAAAACAGCAGCAGACTCAGAGACTCCAAGAAGGGACTAGTGGTTACCAAAGGGGAGGGGAGGGGGAAGGCGGGTGGGCAGGGAGGGAGAAGGGGATTGAGGGGTATTATGATTGGTACACATGGTGTTGGGGGGTTCACAGGGAAGACAGTGTAGCACAGGGAAGACAAGTAGTGACTCTGGGACATCTTACTACACTGTTGGACAGTGACTTCAGTGGGGTATGGGGGAAACTTGATAATATGCGTGAATTGTAGTAACCAAAATGTTTTTCATGTGAAACCTTCACAAGAGTGTATATCAATGATACCTTAATTTAAAAATAAAACAATAGAAGGAAGTCCACCAAAATGTAAACTGTGGTTATCTCTGAGTAGTTTCCATTTTCTTTTTTATAGCTCTATATCATAAAGTTATAAAATTAAGGTATTTCCTTTAAAATTCATGTTTTCAAAAAATTGTTAATAAGTGGAAAATGCATATGATAGAATATCAATTGAACTATAGGATAAAATGTATATTCAATACAGTACCCATTAGTTTTTTTAAATGAGTATTTAAAAATCCAGGAAAATACTAATAACTGCTATGGCTGTGTAGTGGGATCACAAGTAATTCTTTCCTTCATTTCACTTGTGTATCTTTTCCAAACTTTCTACAGTGAGAAAATGTTAAAATTTCATGTGGGAAAGAAAACCCAATTGGTTGCATTTTAAACCACAGTTTCAATAAGGAACATTTTCTCTGAGTGCCTCTGGTCCCTGGTGGGAGCCCCAGCATCTTCTGAGCCCACAGCCCAGGAGGAGCACCTCCTCCCAGAGACACCCCATGCACACAGACCAGGTTAACAACAATTACACAGTGGAAATAGTCACAGATGCCACCATTTACTCAGCTTCTCCTATGAACCCTACAGCATCACCTCCTGCATCTTGGAGGCTGGTCCTCACCCAGAGAAGAGCAGTCTGTCTAATTTCAAAACCCAATCTTACCAACACTGAACTTTGGTAAGGAATACATCTTTTAGGAATATCTTACTTATTTTTACAGTAGGTCTGTTTCTAAGTAGTGCATCTGCTACATCCAGAACCTTCTCTCCGATTCATCAATGTAAGAATAAAGCTAAATTTTTCCCTTGACCTATACTTATTGTTCCCAGAGGTCGTTTTCATAAATAACATCTCCCACAGCTGTTCTGTTTCCATTCTCCCTACCTCTTCTTCTGATGGGTAAAAGCCAGTTGCTCTCATGACAAAAGGAAGCTCCGACAGGCCAATGTGTTCCGACACCTTTCTGGTCTCCATTGTATCGATACCTTGACTACGGAGCTGAGAATAGTAAAAATAGTCTTCCAGCTCCTACATGGAAACACAACACACATTTTGGCTGAAGTCTGAAGCATCCATTAAGATCTCAAGGACATTTTTCAGAAAGTACTTTTTGATTTCAGTGTGGAAAAGAACTTGGAAGAAAGCAAGAGGGCTAGCCCTGGGCACATTTGTTTTACAAACTTAACTAGATGTCACCAGGAAGTGTTTACTCTGAGGACAATTACCCTGTAGAATTTTCCTTCCCTGCCACCAGACACCAGACCATAGAATGGGGTCAAGTCTTCACCCCCGAGAGAAACTGCTGCCTCCAGGGCACTGGAACAAGAGAAACATCACCATTAGAACTCACTCAGCTGTGATCGCAGCTCAGCGGTTGCCCCTGTGGGCCTCCAAGGGGCATCACAGCGCACATACAATTAGGGGCTCCTAAACTTGTTAAGGAAATCCCCTCCAAAATGAAGCTGAAAACAGAAAATTCAATTTCAGTGTGGAACCTGGTGGTACCGGGAACCCGCCTAATAACAGTGATATTCTCTCGCTGGTGACAGGGCAGGCACTTGGCAATCTGTCTACAGTCTTTGGGGAACAGGGCTCTCCTGAGGGAAGGAGGAGGGAGAGCTCTGTGCAGGGCCACCGCAATCCTCCCCAGCAGAGTGGCTTTACCTGTAACGGCAGATCGGCATGTGACCAGAGAAAAAAGAATGGGGTAGGCGCAGGTGGACTGCCAATACTAACTGCTTCCATAAAATGCAGAGGCCACGAGGGACCCATGCTAGTGAGATAAAAATAACCCTCTGCTCTCTAACACAGGGTCAGATTTTCCAAAAATAGGCCCTTTAAAAAGAAGAAAACCTACTTTTTGTATGAGACTGACTTTGCCTTATACAAAATGTTAATAATATTAAATCATTATTAACAAGCCACTAACTGGATTTCTGCTAATCAGGTCATTAGGATCTTTGTGGGGTTATTAAAACACACTTCAGTGTAGACCACCAAATGGGGAAGTGGCTAAGTACCCAGAATCTGGAGTCAAAGCGATATGTGTAGGTCTTGGTTCTGCCACTTACAGGTAGTGTGATCATGGTCAAGTAACTGAACCTCCCTGGGCTTCAGTTTCCTCTTCTGTAAAAGGGGAATAATTGTAGGGTCTGCCTCACAGGGCTGTTGTGGGAATGAAGTAAATTAATGCATGGACAGGATTTAACACCAAGCCTTCATTCTTCTCTTGTGACAGATGATTGTTGAAGTGTGGGGATGAATCAGAAAGACCACTTACTCCATTGTCTAGGCAGGTCATTTAAGGTCTCTGAGCTAGTTTCCAGGTCTGTATAATGGGGACACCAACAGTTCCTACCTCACGGGACGGCCATGAGGATGGAATCAGTCAATGCAGGGAGAGGCCCCAGCACAGGGCCTGGCCCTGAGAGGGCTCAGCACAGGTGGTTAAGGCTATTAGTACTGTTGCCTGCGGACTGATACGTACCTACAGCTATCTTAACAGAGTCAGCCACAAAACCGTCTTGGCCCTGTTGCTGGGGTCCCGCAGAAGCAGGCCATGTTAGGTTCTGTGGGGGCCAGCATGGTCTGGTGTCCAGGTGGACCAGGTGGACCTGAGGCCTCTCTCCAGCAGGGCCCAGTCCTCCTCCAGCTCTTGGTTCTGCTATCAGCCATCAAGAAGGCAAGTGGCCAGCTGCGAGGGCTCCCTCTCTGTGGCTGCCTGCCCAGGCCCAGGCCTACTCCCACAGGCTCTGTGGGCAGTGAAGCCACTTTTAGCCATGTGGCTCTGGAGCAGGGCCAGGTAAAGGCCAGGAGTGACACGGAGGAGTCTGTTTCTGCCATGAATGCCCTGGGGAAAGGCTCACAGGAGTTCCGGATTCTCTGGGAACAGCCCTCTGGTGCTCAGGACTATACTGCGATCCCAGCTTCCTGGCCACTGTTAACTGACCTGACAGAGCCAGAGGGACAGTCCTGGGGTTGTCTCTCCAGAGCTGGAGAAGGAGACTCATTCCTCTGCAGTGAGAGCAACAGTTTGTGAAACTTGAGACCTGTCAGTGGCCATGTTCCCACAGGGGACCCAACCCAGTTCTGAAGGGAATGAAGCCCACCACAGAGCAGGGCAGAGAGTGCAGTGGGCACCAGGGTACACTGCCCTGCTCTTCCTGCAGTGCGGTTACCTGACATCCCCTTGGCCTTCCCCTTTCTGCTTAAGCTGGGTTTCTAACACTTGCAACAAAAAGGGAGGTCTTTGGGGGCACAAAAGGGAAGTACATTATTGACAGCCTACTATGTGCCTGGAAATACATATAATACTTCTGAGAAATGACCTAAGCTTGAGAAGCAGTGAGCACTGTGCTAGCACACAGCAAGCACCCGGTAGATGTTCCCAGCAAAAAGAAGAGTGATAGCAACGGTGGTAATCATTACGCTCAAATCAACTCTGAACTTGGTGATAATATTCCCATCTAGCAGATGGAGAACTGAGACCCAGAAGTTCAGGGACTTGCCTGAGGTCACGCAGCAAGTACACAGGGAAAGTAGTATTTGAAACCAGGCCTTTCTGCTTTTAGCGGAGCAGGGCAGCAGGATTGCAGGTAGGCATGAGGTTGAGCATAAAAAGGTAATAGGGGATTTTAAACCTGAAGCCAGACAAGGAGAGGAAAAGGGTAGCATGCTAGCAAAAATGGGAAGAAGGGGAAGTATGTGTGGGATGAACTCTGGGGGTAGGTGAAGGGAAGGGGTCTCTTAGGGAAAAGTTCAATTGCTGCAAAGATAATATTTGGACCTGGGAGTGCACAGATTAAAACAATGGAATCTTGAGAGGATTGATAGTTTTTATTTCCCCCTACAACTCCCACAGATCTAGTAGGGAGTTTTGTTTGTTTACTTGTTTAGGGTTTTACATTTCTTCCCATTAGTGAAATGCTGAACATATTAAGACACCAGAAGCAGCAATGAAGTGCTAATTAGTTTATAATGGTCCTTTGTCCCACAACAGATTAAATTGAAATTCTCAGAAGCCTGGACTCTGGCCAGGCACAGGAAAGCTATTGGAAAGCGGGTGCCTTTTTTTTTTTTTGAATCTCTATCATTCCAGATCCCAAGATGGTTGAGAAAAGAACAAAAATGAAAAAGGGAAGATTCTGTTTTCCCACCAGGGTGTCACTTGTCCCCATGTCCAGGTAACAGGCTAGGAGACAGGGAATCAAGCAGCTCCTTTTAAGGATGATCGGCAGGTGTTTTTCATTAAGAGAACTCACCTCCAGCTTCTAAATCCCCCAATTCCCAAAATCTGCTCTTAGGTGAAGGCAAAGGTGAAGGTCAAAGTTGCAACTGAAATCTGAAACCACTGTGGCTGCAAAGCAGATTTACCTGGCTATTTTTACTCATATTCAGGTTAAGAGGAGAAGTTTCCATGTCTGCCATAAAAGAAAGATGTGTACTTGGAAGAGGGTAGGGGGTATGCTTTTACTGGGAGCCATGCATCAAGTTTGTTCTTTGAGAAAGGAAGGTGCCTCTGAGCTGTTTTTATCTAGGTGAAAGCTCCTCGATGTGACACTGTCAGGCAGGGGGTCACCGAGAGGCAGGGGCTTGGAGATGGTGGTCAGGATAGGCACTGGCTCTGCCTTGGGGCAGCTCACTCAATTTGGGTACATGAGAGGATTGTCATATGCCCCTCTTTAAGTAAGAAAGACCCTGAGCTCATAAGCATGTGCCTTTATACAGAAGAAGAGAAGAAAGAAAATTATTAATTTCCTGAGACCTTAGCTCTGAGCTGGGTGCTTTACAAGAATCCTGTAGAAGTCCCTATTATTACCCCCATTTCACAGATGAGGAAACTGAAGGTTAGAAATGTGGAGGAACCTAAAGGTTAGAGATGAGAAAAAACCTGCCCTGCATCCCACAGCCAGCAGAGCATAGGCTCAGATTCGAACAGTCACTTTGACCTCAAACCCACTCTCCACTGCTCAAGAATGGAATCCTCCAGCCTTGCCCTGGGCGGGGAGTCTCCACTCCCGGCGAAAGAGTGAGAAGAACAGAATGAAAACACTTATTTCAAATAATAGTCTTACTATTTCTGCAATACACACATGGGACCTGGTGTAGATTTACAGATGGCAGGGTGAGAGGTTTTTAAGAGGTCATGGGTGAGCAAGCTAGAATCTCACTTCCTTAACTAAAAATCCATCTGTTCCTGAGACAGAATAGGAACCTTTTGTCTGCACATTAATATGCATGGATGTCACAGGGAGTGGCCTGAACGCAAGACTGGAGTCTTGGTCATCTTTGTACCCATAGGCCTAGCACAGTGCCTGGCACAAATTGGGGCTTAAAACCTATCTGCCGTTGCTGAGTGAAACGAAGGGGTCTATACTTGACACCTTGCTTATTGGGCCAAGCTTCTTGCCCCATCATGTACCTTAAGTTGATTTTCCATTGTACCACAGTCCGATCTTGTCCTCCTGCTGTGAAGGCATAGCAGCCATCATAGGAAAGGGTCATTCCAGCCACCCCATTTGGGTGACATACAATAGCAGATGTCTTATGTGGATTGCCATCAACTGGTAAAATCTGAAGTCCAACCTAGAAAGGAATATGTAATTGGAAATTCAGACTCAGATAATGGGGCCCCAGGCTAAGCCTGGCACAGTCAACAGTGACCTCCAGTTCTGTTTACTGGAAGAACCTGTGTGTCTGGAACCATCTCAGCATGCAAGAGCCATATTTCACGTGACTGGGGTTCACTCACACTCACCCTGCAGGGTTGTCCCTTAGGTAGGAGATACCAGGTTCCAGCAAAGACCCAGAAAGGAAGCTTTCTTCATGTCTTCATAGTCAAATGTGCAGAGTTTTCCATAATAATTCTGCTATGATTTTATGCTTTTTAATTTAGATTATTCATTAAACAACTAAGTGTAACTAATTTGTATGTCTTTATAAGGTTTTTCCACGTAAATACAACAGAAAGAAAAAACCTTTTGGTGGACCATGTGTCTTCACTGGGGCACAGAAAATATGGTAATTCTGCTTAGAATGTCTCCTAAGAGTCATTCTCACCTCTTAATGGCAATTTTCAGTATCACTGTTAACCAGGATGGAAGTAGTTGGGTCTAGCTATAAAACCAAACATTCCTGAGTTTTCTAATACTTGGGACTGACTGCTGCTCAAAATACACAGAGCCATCTTACAGAGGGGGGAGCAAAGGGCTAATACCTTGTCTCTATTAATAAACACCAAGTGGCGTTTCTGCAGTTCCAAAGTGGTTTTCACTGGGAGGATATGTATCTGCTCAATGGGAGAACCATAAACTGGCCCAAGAAGTGTCTTCCTGCATGAGACAAAAGAAACCTTCTTTAATCCCACAAATCTAAATTTAGGTGTTATGACTAGCTACCTTTTAAGATACCCTATCCATTTTAAACTACAAATTTCCTGTCTCATCACTCAGCTAAGCCTGCCTCTAAGAACCTTTCTCTCAACCACTGCTAACAGCTGCCGCAAATAAGGGGCAACAGCTCCAAAGAGTAAATGTTTCAGGGAAACTGATTGTGAAGAATGCTTTTTGCATCTGAGGCTCTGACTTTCCTTCTTGACATCTGAGAGAAGGGAACATTATGCCCTGAGAATGTGTACAGGACCAAGGGAAGGGAAAAACGCTGCGAGGAAGTGACATACATTGGTAGAATGCAACAAAACACCCCCTCCCAGGTGGTAGGCCACAAGATGAGGTGAGGTGCCGCACATGTGACATCCAGGCCTAAGTGCAGCACGCAGAGCTCCAAACCGCGACCTGAGAATCACATTGTAATGAACTGTATCCCTCCAACAGTCAGACTTCTTTAAGTCAGACTCTATTACACTAATTAGGAATCTAACCTGAAATGAGGCTACTAACATTCCCCAAAGCCCGGACCTGGGTATTCCCTGAAGCTAGCAAACTTGAGCTTCTGGACCCTCACTCAGGCACCTTCTGAGGCCAGAAGGGGCCTGGGCCACTTTTTATTCTTAATTATGTACCTTTTACTTTAAAGAGAGCCCACAAAATCAAATATATATCACATCCCACACACCTGGACCTGCCCATATGTGAAAGCCAGGAACAACTTCATCTTATAAGACCCTCATTGTCTGGATGTGTTTTCTCCATGTCCCCTGCACCCAGCCCATGTCTGGTGGCAGCAGGACATGCTACATGTATGTGCTCTGAAAAAATGAAGAGCAAATACACTAAACACCTTTCTCTCTGTGCAAGGCACACCTGTGGGGCACACAGAAATGACTGAGATTTGGGTAAGTTCTGAGGGCACACTTGGTCACCAGGCTGCAGGATGTCACAGGAGGTGTCACTCAGATGACCCATGCTTGGGTTCATATGCACAGAGAATTATGTGAAATGTTAAAAATACTGACATGACCAATTGGTAGACAATGTACCAGTTAGTTATGTCACCGTCATCTAATCATTTGAGTAGAAATGTTTAGGGACCTTCCCCAAATATCATTGAGTGGACAGAGGACAGACTCTGATTTGAATCCCAGCTCTCACCCTTAAAAATTCAGGGCAAGTTGTGGAGAAATTGGAACCTTCATACACTGCTGGTAGGGATATAAAGTGATACAGCTGCTTTGGAAAACAGTATGGTGATTCCTCAAATGGTTAAACATAGTTACCATATGACCCAGCAATTCCACTCCTAGATCTATATCCAAGAGAAATGAAATATGTCCACACAGAAACCTATACATGAAAGTTCAGAATAGCCAAAAAGCAGAGACAACCTGAATGTCCAACAACTGATGACTGGGTAAACAAAATGTGGTGTATCTCTACAATAGACACGATTCAGCCATAAAGATGAATACAGTACTGACATATGCTACAGCACAGATGTACCTTGAAAATATTATGCTAAGTAAAAGAAGCCAAACTTAGAAAGTCACATATTACATGATTCCACATATATAAAATATCTAGAATAGACAAATCCATAGCAATAGAAAGTAGATTGGTAGTTTGTCAAGGGTGGGGCAGAAGGCTGGGGGAGGGAAGGAAGGGAATGGGGAGTGACTGTTGATAGGTATGGGATTTCTTTTTGGGGTAATGAAAATGTTCTTATTAGACAGTGATGATTCACAGTTTTGTGGATATAGTAGAAACTACTGAAAAGGTGTAAAATTCATGTATGTGAATTGTATCTTAATTCACATTATAAACAAGTTAAAAAAAAAAACCAAAATACCCAAGGTCAAGCTAGTCAACCTCTATGTGCCTTAGGTTCCTCACCATAAAATAGGGACAATGACAACACCATTGACCTTGAAGAATGAGGGGGTTATGGGTGACATCCCCAAGGGTGGCCAAAAATCCACCTGGAACTTTTGATTCCCCCAAAACTTAACTACTAATAGCCTACTGTTGACCAGAAGCCTTACCGATAATATATGATTGATTAACATATTTTGTACATTATATGTATTTATACTATAATCTTACAAGAAAGTAAGCTAGAGAAAATGTTTCTTCAAATTGTTGTAAATCTCAAAAAGAAAAATTCCAAATATTTATTGAAAAAAATCCACTTATAAGTGGACCTGTGCAGTTCACACCTATATTGTTCCAGGGTCAACTGTACTTAACCCCATAAGACTGTGGAAAGCCTTAAATAAGCCTTTTAATATATATATATAAAACACTCAGTTTCTGGCACATAGTAGGAGCTATATTATTATCTCACATTGTTAAACCTATCTAACAATTTCATAAAATTAGTATTTTTCTCCTAATTGAAAAGTTTTCTTCTAATTAAAAAGTATTACATATTCACAGTGCAAATTTTCAAACATTTAGACATACATAGAGCAGAAAATCTACCTATAACTCTACATTGCCACAGCCTTTATCACAAGATACTCGAGGGTAACAGTTTGGTACATATGACTCAAGAATTTCTTTTATATATATTCTGATATATATAATTATAATTTTATAAGAAAATGTATTCATGCTTATTTGGAAATTTGCTTTAGTTCTTATTATGTCTTGGAGCTGTTTCCATGTTACTACACAGGGAGCTATCTTTCCCTTTTTTTCTTTTCTAAAAGCAGCATCCTGTTTCAGTGTACTGACAGGCCATCATTTACCTAATCCCCTATTAATGGACATCTGGATTTCCATTTTTAAAAAACATTTTCAAGCAAGACATTCTTTTACTTATGTCTTAGCATACTGTGTGAGTACTTCTGTGGGCTACACTCCTAGAAGTCAGAAGATACAGTCAAATTTAATAGAGGGTAACAAATTGCTCTCCCAAAAGGTCACCCCGATTTATACTTGCCCCAGCAGCCAGTGAGAGTGCCTGCTCTCTATGCCCTTGCCAATTCCAGGCACTATTGATCATTTTTATCTTTGCTAATCTGATTTGTGAAGAATGTCCTGTTTTCATTTGCATCTTTGATACGCTAGAGAGCATCTGCTCACAGGTTTATTGGTCTTTTTCTGTGCATTGCCTTTTCATGTTCTTTTGAATATTTTAAAATGCATTTTAAAATTCTTTTGGATTTGTTATGAAAAGGCAATACTTTCCCCCTTAAGTTGTGGTTATGAGGCTTTATTATTCCTGTAACTTAAAAGATGCTTTATGCACAGGGCTTTTACTCTGGAATGATGGAAATGTTTCAGTCCTAGACAGAGGTGATGGTTGCACAACGTTGTGAATAGACTAGAGGTTACTGAATTGTTTCCTTTAAAATAATTTCATGTTATGTGAATTTTACCATGATAAATTTCACCTTATTTGTTTTAAAAGATGCTTTATGCTAGTTTCTGACTGATCTTTAATAGGAAAAACTCCTAACTGTATGCCCTAGGTCTCTGGTTAGTAACTGTTAGCAGGAACTAAGAGCCCCAATCTACCTGCTCAGCAAACTCAGATTTTCTCAGGACTGGGCATATCTATGAGATATTCTTTGTCCAAAAAATTTGTGTCCATTACAGATGATGCATGAAGACACCAAGATCTTCTTAAAACTCCTTTTTATGTATTTCTTTCAATGTCTCCTTCCCAGTGTTTTACTAGTTTAAAAATTTTTGCTCAATTTCTCTCCTGTTCCTGCCAAATGGCATGGTATTTCTCAGTCATTTTTCCTTGTGCCCTCAGGAACTGTTTAAAAAAAAAATCCTGGGTGACCCTGGCCTTTTGAGGACCTATCTTACTGAGATACACTTTAAAAAAAATGATCTTCCTCAAGGGTGGGGCCAGCTGCTGTTGGACAGTTTTCTAACTGCCTCTTTGCAGGTTGGATCACAAAGTACCCACGCGGCAGCCAACAGGTGGAAAGAGGCTGCCCTCTGGAGCTGACTAGGCAGGATCCCAAATCCAGGGCTGTATCAGGGCCCCGTAGTGCCAAGTAGAGGACAGAGTCAGAGCTAGACTCAAGGGTCAAGGGTCAGGCTGGCTGCCTGACCAAGCTTTCTGACCTTGGGCAAGTTTCATCGTCTCTCTGAACCTTGAAGTATAATACTTTGCGGGGTTGATGAGGATAAAATGGGATGCTCAGTGCACGCACAGAGACAGTGGACCATAATCAGCATTTATCTTGAGGAGCAAGCCCTGGGGCCACCCCACAGATATAGACCTATCTCAGGATAAGGGGCTGCAGCTCTAAGATGCTAAACTTTGGATGCCCTAGGCATGGCCCTCTGGCCTCTTCTCTACCTTTCCCCTTTGGAATCTTCTCATTTCATGGCACTAAAACACCACGTGCTCTTGACCTCAAATGTGAATCTCCAGCCAATCTTTCCCAGGAACTCCTCTCCCCAACCAAAATCAAATTCCCTGAGACAGAAACTTTGTTTTGTTCTCATCCCGGCCTTCAGCACCTAGAACAGTGCCTGGCTCATGTAGGGGCTCAGTAAATACTTAAGTAAACACACAAATGCTACCAGGTGAACTTAAAAACTCCTTTAAGAACCAACAGTAAGATAAATTCAAACAATCAGTAGTATTCAAGTAAGAACACCTGTTTTTATTCATTAGGGAAAACAGTTGATTTTTTTAGAGCATCAGCCACTTACTAGCTCCTTCAGTGATTCTCAGGCACTGAGCCCTTGGGTACCTTATCTCTGTGCAGTGCTGGGCTCAGAAGCAAGGGCTCTGGGCTTGAATCCTGCCTCTGGCACTTCCTAGCCATGTGACATTGGGTGAGAATTACTAACCTTATCTGTGCCTCAGTTTCCTCTTCTGCAAAGTAAGTGATAGTAATAGTGGCCAAGCTGCTTGCAGGTCCTTAAATTGTGACTTGAAACAAGCCAAAAGCTGTGAAGTTGTTTCATGTACATCAGTGGGAAGCTCCAGTGCTTACCTGCACATTTTTGTGGTAGAATTAAAAAGTTTTACTTTGTAGCCACTGTTGCAAACTAGCAGGAAGAGTTCCTTGGTGAGTGGGGGATACCAGACCATACAGGTGGGGTAGCTGCCCTGGTCAGTTCGGTGAATGTCCAGGACTTCCAAGTGGTCTTTGCAGCTCTTGAGAAGATTATATTCAATCTACAGGGGATTCCAGATGGACATACATGAGGACTGAGCAAAATGAAATCAAACCAACAAGCCTATTCTGGAGGAGACAGTATCAGGCCTCCTAAGAGAAGACTTGGCCTAGACCCTTACACTTAGTAAGCTACCATTACAGAGTATTCCTTATAAGCAAAGACGATGAGCAAAGTGCTCTAAAACCATGATGCCATTTAATTCTCACAACTCCCCTCCAAAGCAGTACTCTTGTACCCATTTTACAGATGAGAAAACAGATGTTCAGAGAGGTTTAGTGATTGCTCAAGGTCACACAGTCAAGAAGTGGCAGGGTGCGAATTCAAATTTTGGTCCAACTGATTCCAAAACCTGAATTCTTACAATTAAGTTGTACTGCTTATCCCATTGTTTTGGGAACACTTTGAGGAACTAATTCAAACCTAAATCCTAGCACTTGACAGTCACAAATTAGCAGCCTGCTGAATTTCACCCATAGAAGGTTTTAGTGGCCTGACAAGGATGGACAGATGGATGGACAGATAGAATAAAGGAAGGAAAGGGAGATAAGGATGGAAGAGGGGGGGGAGGAGGGAAAGAAAGATGGAGGGAGAAAGTTTAGATAGATAGATAGATAGATAGATAGATAGATAGATAGATAGACAGATAGATAGATAGATAGATAGATGATAGACAGGCAGACAGTCAGACAGGCAAAGATCTGATAAAGACATAGAAAGTTGAAAATAACCGAAGTCAAAAATGCATTTAATACGCCTAACCTACTGATGATCGCAGCTTAACCTAGCTTATTTTAAATGCACTCAGAACACCTACAGAGGCCTGCAGTTGGGCAAAATCAGCTAACACGGAGCCTATTTGATAGTAAGGCGCCAAATAGCTCGTTTAATATACTGAATGCTGTACTGAAAGTGAAAACCAGAACAGCCATATAGATACAGGACAGCTGTCGTCATGCCGGTGGTTGATCCTCCGGGTCAGTGACTGACTGGGAGCCTCGGCTCACTGCCCTGCCCAGCATCACAGAGGGGATCGGACCACATGTCACTAGCCCAGGAAAAGATACAAATCAAACTTCCAAGCATGGTTTCTAGTGAATGTGTATTACTTTCCCACCATCATGAAGTAAAAAATTCTACATGAAGTAGAACCATAGTTAAGTTGGGGACCATCTGCACATAGATTGGTTGACTTTGAATCCTTTTGTCTGGATGGTGTGACATTGCTACCATTCCCTCTTATCTCACATACTCTAACAGTTGTCATATTTAGGTGACAGCCTGGCCCTGACCTCTGAACACACAGAAAGTGTCAGGAGTGTTGGCTTTTCAGATGTACACTGAGAGTTGAGGGTGGCTGAGTTGCCCAGGCTGTGGGGAACACCACTGCCCTGATGACTGCCATGCCTCCTCCCAGAAGCCTCTTCACTTAGGACACAAGTCCCCATACCACATCACAGCACATGAAGGCATAGAATGGACCCTGAGAGGCTTACACCACCTTACTGCACATTCATTTCCCCTAGCAAACACACAGACTGTGGGCCCAGTTCTGTGCCAGACATGAGGGACGGAACAAGAATGAGACAAACATAGTCCTGGAAGCCAGGTAAACAGACACTATATGGCTCACCAGGAGTCTGTCTCTTCCAAGGCTCAGCAGCCTAGGCTCATTGCTGTCCAGATGGACCCCAAACAGGAGACTTCGAATGCTTTTGCGATGAGAACGAAGCCTTGCCAGGTATTCCCAGACCCTTTGTCCATTTTTTACTTTCACCATGTAAACGGCCACAGTAAAATTTACATCCTGAATATGAGCAAAAGACTAGAAGTCATTCCTTTTTAAATTTGGACTTAAAAATGTTCATCTTGTTTTCATATTAATTTTGCCTTTAGAATACTTTATCCAAAAAGGAATCTTAGTCTATCAGAACAATTAGTAAAATAATACCCATTTTACAGATGAGAAACTAAGGTTAAAGACAGATGGCTCACAAAGGTAGTGGGGGAGAATATTTATCTGACACTATGGTCTTTCTCTCCTTCCTAGTACCCACCTCATGTTCTGTGGAAACTGAAATGCTGACTTTTTTTGCCTTTGTCCTTCCTTCTCTTTATCTAGTTACACAAAATTAAAAAGGTATAATTTTTTAAAAAGCGTAAATGCTGAGAGTGAAATGGGTCAGAGAGTGAGAGAGACCAGCCTGAGGGGACAGGGGGCATCTCAATCCATGTCCTGATGGATGGGACCCCTGAGGGCTGGCTTTGGGCCTCCCAAAGTGTGTGCACAGCCCAGAGGAGAGGCTGCACCCCGGTGGAGGTGGAGAGCAGAGGTTTAGTGAAGCCCGCTGCTACCGCCATCCCCAGCATCGAGGCAGGATGAGCACACTGCAGACCACGAGAGCCGGCAGCGAGCACAGCGGGGAGGTCTGAGAAAGTCTTCACTGAGATGAAGAGCCCTAGTCACACCGGGAGGAACAGAGTGCAGAACACTGGTGGAAGACTTTGCTTTGAGATAAATGAGAATGTCATCTTGTCAAAAATCAAAGGGAAAGATTAAAGAATGGATGCAGGGAAAAGGTTCCAAAAAACTAACAAACCAAAGTGAACCGTCAAGTAGCAGAATCCGAGTTTGGAAGTGCCAGGCCCTGGTCTTGTTCTCAGGCCAAAGTCCTTTCCCACCCCTCCCCTTTCTCTTTTAAAAGCAGCTTGAGTGAGATGTAATTCACATACCATACAATTCAGCCATTTTAAGGGAGTAATTCACTAGTTTTTGGCATTTTCACAGACCTGGCATCCATAACCACAATTTCAGAGCATTTTCATGACCCCAGAAGAAAGCCCACACCCTCAGCAGTCTCTCCCATTTCCAGCAGCCTGTCTTTTGGTTTCAAATAAGGTTGCTAACCACTGGGCATACTCAGTGACAATACTTACAGCAGTTGCCATATACTGGGAGTCATGGGAGAAGCTGATATGTGTCACATTGGTTCTGGAATATTTGAAAGGCTCTGGGATTTCATTTTCTAAGGACATTGCATCAAGAATATAAACTGTCCCCTCTGTGAAGCCAGCTCCAAGAAGGGCCCCTAAAATCACAAGCCAGAGAACAGTGATGGAAAGGGACTTCATCATTCAAGAAACATCAACTCCATGCCAGGCCTTGTTGCGGGTGCCAAGGAGACAGCAATGAACATGACAGACAAGGTCCCTATAAGGAGCAATAAACTGAAACGCCTTATACCCTGGCATGAGTGCTCAGATACTCCTAAGCACAGAGGGCCACAGGATCCAGAGGAAGGAGGTGTCTCATGTAGGCTGGTCGGGGGAGTGGGTCAAGGCAAACTTCCAGGAGCTGTTTCAGCCAAGGGCATAACCATCTGGGTCTGTTTTCAATTTGGAACCTAATTAGATAATAAAATGAAAATACCTTCGGGATTGTACGTCAGACTCTGGACTCCACACCCCTTCTCAAAGACCCTGCTGAAAAGGTACTTTTTCTTTTCATAATCCCACACTTTGATCATCCCACAGAAACTCCCGATGGCGATGAGGGGTTGATATGGGTGGCAGGAGATGGCACAAATGGCATCCTTGGGCTCTACAAATATCTTCTCAAGCTTGGTCCCATCTATCGTTAAGTGGTACACTGTTGCATCAGATGTTCCAATGATAAAATTCCTGTTTGTCAAGGAGAGACCAAACAGTATCAGTGTTTGCAGGGAACGGGACTTTCCAGCTATTCTGCTTCTAATTGCACATGAAACGCCTCTGTCGTTGGTAATTTAGTGACATTATTAACCCAACATCTCCAAAAATATACCACCAATACCCAACGGCCTCCATCTGCAAGTAAAAAAGCCCACATTTCTACATGTAAATTGAGTCATTAAGTATGCAGATGGACAGTCAGTCGTACAATTAGCTAATCTGCACATGCAAATATTCATTTGTGTATGCAAATATGGAGTTTGGTGCACACATACAGATGTGCCTGCAAATACTGCAAGGGTAATTAAGCAGACTCACAGATAATTCAGTCTTGAAATGTTATGGCTATTAATTATCGGATGCCTTTTACGGCAGTGCTAGGACAAACTCAGCTTTCAGAAGAGACCAACCTACAGTGAAGACTCCCGACACAGCAGTGATTCAAGCTCAGGGATAAGCCCTTCCCAGCTTCCAGTTATTAAAGGTTCCTAATACGAAAGCGATGTTTCATTTTTTTGAAGTGATTAAATAGTGATTATAATCAGCTAAGGGGAGTCATCTGCCAGCCAGGTAAAGGACTAACCAGAAGGCCATTCACACTGTCCCACTGCGTATAAGCTAAAAGAAGACATCGATTCTTTTTTGACCATTCAGATGATGAGATTCATTAACAACTTACCTAACAATAAAAAGGTCACCTTTTAAAGTGCAGTCTGGAGGATAGTTTGATTTTTCAGTAGGAGGAGATGCCGGGGTCTTTGAAAAGGACAGGGTTCTTATGGAGCCCAGATTGAAGTGACTGTACCAGTTAGCAATGGACAGGGTGTGATCATAAAACTTAATGTTACCCTTAAGGTCACCTGTGACAATAAAGCTGGAATGGAGAATAACATCAACTGGTTAAATAGCAGTAAGCACCAGCTACTGAACACCCGATCACACAGCAGGCTCTGGCCCCCAAGTATTGTAAAGTATTTTGTTTAATACTGCCCTATCAGGCTGATTTTACTTTACCCCACTTTACATCTAGGCAGTTAAGGCCCAGAGAAGTTATGAAATTTGCTTAAGGCCTGAGATTGACAGATTTAGCCAAAAAAATTCAGGATGCCCAATTAAATCTGAATTTCAGATAAACAATGAGTAATCTTTTAGTATAAGTATGTTCCAAATATTGCATTGGATATACTTATACCTGGCAACCCTATCTGGGCCATGTGGCTAGGCAATACAAGGACCCAGGTGTAACTAACACAAAGTCTGTGCTCTGAGTCTATTCTTGCCTGCCCTCCAAGATCAGCCACCTGCAATGGCAGTGGGCAGTGACTGACATTCTCTTCCATAAGACTACAGATGACAACAGAGTCCATCTACCAGCCTCTGAAATCACACAGGCTGGCACTGGGACACAAGGCACTGAGAGGAAGGTGCTGCTGTTAGAGTAACTGTAAAACACTCTCCAGGCATCACAGCCAAAAGCAATGTCGCGTGACAAAATGGCTTTTATTTCCAGTCCTAGATTCATCCCAAATGGGCTTGTTTTTTAAGCCTCTGACATAATTCTAATCACAGGGGGAGCAAGAGGATGAATTTCCTCTTATATATGCAAAGTAATTAAAAGAGGTTTCTGATTAATAAGCAAAGCAGGTGGGCTGAGTAATTGGCTAGAACATCTTTTACTGCCCTCTGCTGGACAGAAGTGGCAAAACGTTTTCAGAGGCCTTTTCCTCCTGGCTCCCTGGTCCTAGCTGGGTTTTCTCTCACACAGGGAGAAAGAAACAGAGGCCTGTTATTCACGGAGTTCTATCCCACAACTATTAAAATATGATTGCATCATCAATTGCAAACTTACGACTGTCTTTTCACACTACTGAATGAGGATGACAACTTGAATTTCTCTTCATAAAGCCATACCAGAACATCACTGTTCCCCTGAGATAAAAGGAAGGAAAAGGAAAGCCCATAGGCTTTTGGCAAGCAGATAACAGGGACTACACACATAGGGTTAGGGTCCTTGTCATTAGGCAGTTTTCTCCACCACTTGTGGGAACACCTGTAGCACACTAATAATGATTATTTTACCAAGAGTTCTCCTTGCCAGCCATTGTGGTGAGTTTTACATGCCTGTTTCACTAAGTTCTTGTAAAATCAAATCACTCCGAGATAGATAGCATTATAATATCCATTTTACAGATGGAAAAATGGAGGCTCAGCAAAAGTTAAGTCCCTTGCCTAAGGTCACTCAGCAAGCAAGGGATGCCTCTTCAGATGCATGTGTACACCTTTCTGTCTGAGGAAGAGGCTTTTAATGATCACCTGTGAGATCCACAGCCTCTCCAAATCAAAGAGTGAACTTTATAATATTCTCTTGTATATCAACTTTTCATAATGGGTATGTGTATTTTGTAATAAGAAAAAAACAATATAGCTATTAACATTGTTTTCTTAAAGTATATTAAATTTAGGGTGCACAGTAAGTCTGATTAGTGCAGAAGAAAAAGATCAGTTTTTGTTTCACTAACACAAAGGGATTTTTAAAAGTAATACATGCTCATGATTTAAACAAAAAGCTAACAACATTAGTACAAATGAGATTCCAACAAGAAGTAAATCCACCCCCATCCTTGATCTCAGTTCTCTGTTCTTTTCCTCAGAAGAAATAGTTAACTTCCTCCACGTTCCTAGTTAATTGTGGCTTTCCCCAGAAATATTCTATGCATATACAAATACAGGTATACATACAAAAGGATTTTTAAGTACTTTTAAAAATTAAGTTCATTACCGATCAACTGTAGTAAGCACAGTGATGCCCTCTTCCTGCAAATGAACCAGTTTACAAGGTTTGATAGAGGGAAAGAACACAGAGGTAGAGGCAGATGATAGTGGGTGGTGTATGTCCCAGACAACCAGCTTCCCTTCCATTGTTGCAGAGAGTATTTGTGTTAAATTCAAATGGAAAACAGACTGGCTGAATTTTCCCACGAGCTTGTTGAATGTCTGCAGTTTAAAAGACAGATTACAGTTTATAAGTTATCATTGGTAATAAATATAAAACAGCATTTATCAAAATGACTTTTTTATAATATTACATTAAAGTACAATAGGAAAAAAAGCTTTTAAAAATCACTGAAAAAATTCCTCCCCCATGGATTGCCATGGTGCAGGCAGCTCTGAGCCTCTGAAGGTTTGCTAAGAGCAAGTGAAGGGTTATGTACTGTGTTAATTAAACTGTTTGCTTAAAGCAAGTGAAAGAGTGATTAATCACTGTATATACCTGTTCAACTTCACTTATTGAGATTTCAGAGACTGATAAAGAAACTAATGTCTGTTGCAAGCAAAAGCATGCTCTAGTTGTAAAATATAATAATTCTTCCAGTCCCCTTTTGATCATAAATTATTTTCCTATCAGTAGAAATTAAGCACTATATGCACAGAAATGCCCCTAAGACTCCTTATTAAATGTGTGCTATGTAAAATAAGGCACTAGGTCACCTTTCTTAGACAATGTCTTAGAGATGAAGGATGGACAGAACCCACAGCAGTGAGTGAAGCCCCTCAGTGAATGTTTAGCAAATGAATAAAAGAAACTCAGCAATCTGTCATATGATATGGCAAGTCTGCTGCCCAATTCTCTAATTATGCAGAGAAGATCCTAGGGTTTACCTCTTCTGACTTGAACACAAGAGGGTCAATAAAATAATAATCATTCAAGAAAAAGCATCAAGTCCTTTCTGAGAGCAGCATGGTGCACTGTGAAGCATTTTATCACAAGGCCATCGATCCTCATCGTAAGTAGGTTCTGTATTTGCAAATTTGTCTACTTGCCAAAATTTATCTGTAACCCCCAAATCAATCCTCAGGGCACTTTAATGATCATTTGCATGTGCAGAGTGGTGGAAAATTTGACTCGCCCTACATGCACATTCCCTGCTAAGGGCAAGCAAGGCAACGCTCTGCTCCGCCTTTTTGTTTCTGAACTGAGATTGTAAACAGGGATCCTTTACGTAGCCTGTTTAGTGTCATGATCTTCACACTTTGCGGTTGCTTTTTGTTGGCTCTTTTAATATTTAAATTTACCCCCCAAAATAGTGCTGAAATGCTGTCTAATGGTCCTGAGCACAGTAAGGCTGCGATGAGCCTTACAGGGAATATACTTGTGTTAAATAAGCTTTGTCAAGGCATGAGTTCCAGTGAGTCCAATGTTACTGAATCAATATTACATATTATATGGTGTCATTAAACAGAAACATAAATAAAACAAGGTTTTGTGTCTATCAGTTGATGAAAATGTTATGACCAGAGGCTGGCAAGAACCTATTCCTGTATTTGTCCCGGAGCAATGGTTCAGTATTCCCTAGTTGAGTCCTGAAGAGAGTTTTTGGAACATAACTGCCACCAATACTGAGAATTGACTGTATTTATTTTTTGATACTTTGATTTATGGAAAAGAGTTTCCAGAAAGAATAACCTTTCCTTATATCCGTCTCATCTTTTTTCTTCTTTTGACATGCCCTCTCAAAAAATACATTTCTATAAGTCATACCAACAATGAAGAAAGGGAACAGAAATTTATATAGCGTGCTCACTGAGGGCAGATTACATGGGTATCAACACAGAAAATGCTGCAGGAGATGGGGCTTGTGTTCCACCTCAGGGGCAATAGCTGGAGGTAAGCAGGCAAGATAAACTATTTGCTCCAACACCTGGTTCACCACCTTTCTGTTGGCACACAAACAACTGAACACCCAATATCATTGTTTATTACTCTGAAAACTGAGCATCTTAAAAGGGATCTACTCCTGTTCAACTACTTTCTTTGTATCACTCCAAATTAATTTTCATTCTTTGTCATATGCACACATACATTATAAAAGCGATCTTTTTGGGGGATATTTTCTCATGGTGATGAAATTTCTTTTCCATAACATTTATTCTGAACAATAGTTCCATTATTTTCAACTAACAATTCAGTATGGCAAAGGACTCAAGTAAAATTCAAATTATCTTCCAAAGGTTTAATATCAAAACATATAAAGCATAGCCCAAAGTGACTAAGCTTACACATACATATTTATTCTCCACAAAATGTGACACATAAAAATGCAGCAGGCATACTTACTTTTTCTGTTAAAAGTGGAGCACTGTAAACAACTATATCTTCCTCTTCATGCTGATAAGTACAGATGAAAAAAAACACTAATTAAAAAGAGACCTGATTTTCAAAAAAGAACTACACACAACAAAATCAAAACAAATGCATCTAAACAGGGCCAGAGCTTTGTAATTTCTAGAGGAGCAAGAACCTGCTGCCTCTAGGAATATCTAAAAACATTTTGAAAGAAAAGCAAATACTTGAAAAATGCCACAAATATTGTGACTTTAAATGGTAGTTAATGCACAAATCTGAATTTTACATTTGTAAGGACTTAAAGCTGTAACAAATACCTGAAGTAATGCCTATCGCTGAAAATCAGCAATTCAGTGTTTTTATTTTGCATTTTTTTAAATGCTTAATTTTTTTACTAAAGTATCATTGACATACAATCTTATGTTGGTTTTTGTTTTGCATTTTTTATTGAGGTAGAACTCACATAATTTAAAGTTCACCATTAACCATTTTATAGTGTACAATTCAGAGATACTTAGTATATTAACAACACTGTGCAACCATCATCTCTATCTAGTTCAGGGACACTTTTATCACCCTAAAAGGAAGCCCACAACCATTAAGCAGTCACACCCCAAGCCCCTCCTCCTGCCCCTCACAGGATTTACCTGTTCTGGACATTTCATATCAATGGAATCATACACTATGTGGCTTCTTTCACTTAGCATCATATTTTCAAGGTTCATCCACATTGTTGTGTGTGTCAGGGCTTCATTCCCTTTCATAGTTAAATAATATTCCATTGCATAAATAGACTACATCTTGTGTAGTTGATGGACATTTGGTTTTGTTTCTACCTTTTGGTTATGGCCAATAACACTACTGCTATGAACATTTGTGGTAAGTCCTTGTTTGAATGGCTGTTTTCAATTCTTTCAAGTATATATCTAGGAATTGCTGGGTCATATGATCATTTTATGGTTACTTTTAATGTTTCTTTGGCTTGTGATTTTGTCCTCTGTCAGTATACACATCACTGATCTGTTTGCTAATTATTTTCTAAAAGGAAATAAAGTCCAAGGTGTTGAAAAACCCTATATTTTAGACCTGTTAAATATATTCAAATAAGTAGTTGACTTATTACCTAAAAAATTAAATGAAATTTAAATTATCTGCTTCTGATTCAATAGGTTAATTTCCAGGTATACAAAAAAAATACTATAATTAAATCAAAACATTTTAAATACATTTATGGCTTCCTAAGTAGATACTATATTGTTACATTGCTAAAACACCTGTATTAGAGGAATGAACATATACATGATCAGAACATATCAAAATATTTCTACTTACCCACAGATAATATATTGCCTGTGTTTTACTATTGCTCACCAATTCTTTATTATTTGTTGGATTAAAAGTAAGGTAGTTCTGAAATATAAAGCATTGAAATACATATTAATAAGCTAATTAAGCTAAAGTTTAAAATTAAATAACATTTTTATTATAATAAATGAGTAGGAATATAAAACAGAAAATATATGGCATTTTATAAGCAATAAGAATATGATTTAAATACTAGGTGTTAAAATTAATGGTCTCAAGTGTGTTCACTTTCTTATTTAGTATTATTTATCATAATTCATCATACATAATTTGGAATAAGCAAAAGTAAACCAGTATTCACCAATAACCTTTACTCTGTATCCTTTTAGGCAAAGACTGCTGCATACACATTTCTAAATTGGACAGGGCCACAAGGTAACTTGGAATGAGTACAAAACATCAGAAGGGGCTTCTGACTCCTGCCAAGATGGTGAATAGCATGGGTTGCCTGGCTCCCTTCCCAAATATCAACCCTTCAGAAACTGAGGGAAACATGAAATGCAGTGACTAAACAATAACAACAACAAAAAGTGAGAAATCCCTGGAGAGACATAAGCATACATTTTGAATTAGTATGTGTAAGGGAGGTGGGTGGTTGCAGCTGGAGATGAAGGGCTTCGGGGGGGACGCTGAGGGACAGGCTTGAGAAGGGCTTCCTAACTTCATTCCTGCCATTTCCACCCCATCTCCTATTCCTGCCTCAGTTCAGGAATATAAACTACCAATGCCAATGTCTAAGAATACATACAGACACATCATCAAAAAACTTCTAAAAACCAAGAGAAAACCTTAAAAGAAGCCAGACAGGGAAAAGAAAGGCACATAACTTTCAAATGAGGGAAACTAAGACTGATCATTGACTTCTCAACAGAAATGATGTAAGACTGAAGATAATGCAGTATCTTCAAGGTACTGAAAGATGATAACTACCAACCTAGAATTCTATACTCAGGGAAAATATCCTTCAGAAACAAACCAAGAGATAAGCATGTATCCCTACAAAGACTTGGGTGTGAATGTTCATGCAGCTTTATTTTCAGGTAGGAGTAAGAACAAGCCAGTATTGCTAACTGATAGCTTCCTTTCTCTCAATGAAATACGAGAGAGATCAGCTGAGAGTGAGAGGAAGGGCCATGGCTGGGTTTAGGGGAAGTATGAAGCTGTGTCTCTAGAAATGAAGAAGACAGACTATGAGAACAGCCAGGCAGTGCTGAGAACATTCTCACGCTTGTGACTGAATTCCAAGGAAAACGGATCAGCTGATTCGGATGGTTCTCTCCAGCCATATCCAGCCTGCTCAGGTACTAGTACAGAGAAGGCTGAAGGCAGGGTTCACCCAGAGTCGGGGCGCTTTTGCAGCACTGTCCAGTGGCCCTTTTCATGATGATGATGTTTGATAATCTGTGCTGTCTAAAGCAATTGCCATAGTACAGCATGGAAAAGACAATTAATGACTTTATAATATCTTACTACACTGACAGACAGTGACTGCAATAGAGGGGGTGAGGACTTGATAATATGGGTGAAAGTTGAAACCACTGTGTTGTTTATGTGAAACCATCATAAGATTGTATATCAAGAATACTTTAATAAATAAATAAACAAAACAAAAATGTGATAGCCATTAGCCACGTGGCTAATGAGAACTTGAAATGTGGCTAGTAAAACTGAGGAAATGAACAGATGGAATACCTAGAGAGACAGAGACTCCAGCTGCTTGTGGAAAACAGGGATTCGTATCCTACTGATCTGGGTGGGCAGTCTGAGAGACTTTCTAAAAGCGAGAGGGTTGCTAAAGGGGCAAGGATTTTCACTTTCTTTTCACTTTCATTTTTCTCTCCTTGTTTACTTCATTCTTTCTATCTTCTTTTTTGCGTGTAATTTTATTAATTTTAATCAATTTCAATTTAAATAGCCAAAAGTAGTCAGCAAAGTTGCAGGATCCAAAATCAGCACATAAAAATAAGTTGCATTGCTATACACCAGCAAAGAACAATCTGAGAAGGAAATCAAGGAAACAATTCCACTTATAATAGCATCAAAAAATACTTAGTAATAAATTTCACCAAGGAAATGAGTGATCTGTAGTTTTCAGAACTACAAAACACTGCTGAAGGAAATTAAAGAAGACACTAATAAAACATTTAAATAGAAAATAAATGGAAATACATCCCATGTTCATGGATTGGAAGACAATACTGTTAAGATGACAATGCTACCCAAAACAACCTATAGATTCAATGCAATCTCTATCAAAATCCCAAAGGTGTTTTTTACAGCAATAGAAAAAAACATCCTAAATAGCCACATCTAGCTGGTGGCTGCTATATTGGCACAGCTTTGAAAAGCAGTAAGGAAAGTTTTTTCAGGGAGAAGGAAGAACGCTGTGGGGGAAGAGGAGAGAAAATGGGCATAAAGCTGCAGATGACATGTGCCTTGCTGAGTCTAGTCACCAGGCCCTTTGTTTGGATTCTAGTTCCTGCTAGCAGGTATGTACTTACCATAGTGTCTGGCACATAGTAGGTACTCAGTAAATGTATGCTGAATGAGAGAGGGAAGGATGAATGAGGCAATGCAGGATAGCAGGGTAAACTTTCTGGGTGTCCTGGGAAGTCACCTCATGCAAATTGAGAATAATAACTCCCCTATATTAAGAACAGTTAAGAGCATGCTTCTAGAATAATAAGGGATGCCAGCTTTAGACAAATGATTTAACATGCAATACCTTATATAAAGAACTTAGAATCTGGCACATAATAAATGCTCAAAAAATAGCTATTATAATAATAATAAAAATAAAAAACAAAATGAGATCATGGATAAGAAAGTGTTTGTAAAAAACCCAAGGGCACCATTAAAAAGCTCCACTAAAGCAAAAAGTAGGTTTGACTTAGCATCAGCATAACTTTAGGCTTATCTTTACAGGCTCAATTGAACTCACTTGAAGACCATACTCTTTTGGAAGGTCAAGAGTGCATGCTGGTGTCTCCACTGCTAAAGTCCACCTCCAGATGCAAACTTTCTGTAAATGACAGCAGACAAGGAGAAGGAGCATGAGAAGCTTTCTGAAGGCTGCTGAAGTAGCCCAAAACTCTCACGATAACACTGTAGCTTTGCTTAACTAAGCACAGCACCATGAGCTAAGCCACAAGCATGGAATCCTGTCATCCCCTGGGAGTGTCACAGATGCCATGTAGTCTGAGCAGAACTGTTCAGGAGGACACTCTTGACAGGGTGGCCAGCCCATGGATGCTGCCCCATAGGGCCCTTTACCTGGATTTCAGCATCAGAGATGGTTGCCAGATACTTGGCATCACGGGTGATAGCTATGGCCCTGATGCCATTACCTTACTCTGGGAGCATGAACCTACATTGCATGGTGATCTGGTGATTTAGTGGGGTTGGAAAGCTAAGACAGATGGAATACCTAGAGAGACAGAGACTCCAGCTGCTTGTGGAAAACAGGGATTCATATCCTACTGATCTGGGTGGGCAGTCTGAGAGACTTTCTAAAAACGAGAGGCCTGCTAAAGGGGCAAGGATTGCACAGAGCTTACTGCTCAGCAGAAAGGACAGATAGACAAAATTGTCTGAGTGCACTCTGCCCAGCAGGTTGGGAGTTTAAACAATCTTCAGGGGCTCCCACACCCTGGCTGGCTATGCAGCTCCAAGGCCACCCATTGTGATACGCAGCCTGCTGTGTCTTCCTCACAGCTAGCCTGTACCTGGCTCAGGCTCACAAAGCAGCAACCCCTGCCCTGGTGTTAGGCCAGCCAGAGGGAAGCCCAGCCTATGGCAGCTACAAACACAAAGCAAAGAGGATTACACCTGAGTGTTCAGCCCTGGTTCTGGCAGTGGAGACAGGCATAGCAGCCGGCAAGCAGGAAACAGCTCTTTCCTCCTGGCAAGCACCAATACTGCTCCCCTGAGAGCCCCAACATTGCTCCAGGGGCTGAGCAGCTCCAGAGAGTAGAGCTTCTGGGTACTAGAGGGCGCCACAGACAAATTATGAAATGGCAAAGGAACCTGGTTCAAAGCAAAATTATGAATACACATGAGAAAGATTCAAATGAAATCGACCTCCTGAATCTTCCTGAAAGAGATTTCAAAATAAAAATCATTAACATGCTCATGGAGGTACAGAAAAATATTCAAGAACTCAGGAACAAATTTTGGACAGAGATCCAATTGTTGAAGAACACAATGAAGGGTATTAAAAGCAGATTAGATACAGTGGAGGAGATGATAAATTAAATAGAAATTAGGAAAGAGGAATACAAAGAAGCTGAGGCACAGAGAGAAAAAAGGATCTCTAAGAATGAAAGAATACTGAGAGAACTGTGTGAACAATTCAAACAGAACAATATTTACATTATAGGGGTACCAGAGGAGGAAGAGAGAGAAAAAGAGATAGAAAGTGTCTGAGGAGGTAATTGCTGAAAACTTCCCCAATCTGGGGAAGGAGATAATCTCTCAGGCCATGGAGGTGCACAGATCTCCCAACATAAGGGACCCAAGGAAGACAACACCAAGACATATAATAATTAAAATGGCAAAGATCAAGGATAAGGACAGACTATTAAAAGCAGTCAGAGAAGAAATAAAATCACATACAAAGGAAAGCCCATCAGGCTATCATCAGACTTCTCAGCAGAAACCTTACAGGCTATAAGGGAGTGGCATGATGTATTTAATGCAATGAAGCAGAAGGGCCTCGAACCAAGAATACTCTATCTGGCAAGATTATCATTTAAATTTGGAGGAGGGATTAAACAATCTCCAGATAAGCAAAAGCTGAGAGAATTTAGCTCCCACAAACCACCTCTACAGTGTATTTTGGAGGGACTGCTATAGATGGAAGTGTTCCTAAGGTTAAACAGCTGTCACCAAAGGTAATAAAAAGGGATAGACAAAGAGTACAGAATATGATACCTAATATATAAAGAATGGAGGAGGAAG